AACGCTGTTACCTTCCCACCAAAGCAGTACCTATTTATCTACTTGCAACTTCTTTCTGGGTTTGGTGTAGAGCCAGTTTGGTGTAGTGGTTAAGTGTGCAGACTCTAATCTGGGAGAACCGGGTTTGATTCCCCACTCCTCCACTTGCACCTGCTGATGTGACCTTGGGTCAGTCACAAGCTCTGGCACAGCTGTCCTTGAAAAAGAGCAGTTTGTGTCAGAGTTCTCTCAGCCTCACCCACCTCACAGGGTGTCTGTTGTGGGGAGGGGAAGGGAAAGGAGATTGTAAGCCGCTCTGAGACTTCAAGTGAAGAGCGGGGTATAAATCCAATCTCTTCTCTTCTTCTTCTTCTTCTTGCTTTTGAACTGCTAGGTTAGCAGGAGCTGGAACCAGAGACGGGAGCTCGCTCCGTCATGTGGCACTCGGGTCTCGAACTGCTGAACTACCGACCTTCAAGCCTGCAGTTCAGCGTCTTAACCATCGAGCCACCGCAGCTCTGTTATTTGTGTACTTGTTGTTAAAAGTTAGATAAACTAAAAAATGTATGTTAAAAAAAAAAAGAAGAAGTCTGGGATGGACAGGCACTGCCTCAGGACACCTCTCAATGAATTGTTGGGAAACATGGCAAGCACACAAAGCTAGTATCAGAACCAAATCTGCCCCGGGCCTCAATCCAGCAGCTGAACTGCAGAAGCAAGCCCCTGAGCATACACAGAGTAGCTTCCCTCCCCAGCACAGCATGAACCACTGCTTATCACCGCATTTTTAGCTGCAATGAACATTCTTATGGGATGCCCTGCGCACATCCTTATTGTAAACAGCGAGGTCGGCTGAAAAAACAGCCAAGGATTTTTCTGTTGTGCCCAGATCCAGACCTAGCCGCGAGTTCGAGGGCAGAGGAAGAGGGGGGCAGCCGGGCAAACGCCCCACTGGACTGAAAATGTCACCGAGATCCCTGCAGCCCGGCACATTTAAAAATATATATTTTTTAATTGATTTTTCAACTAAACGTTAGTAAGAGAGGTTCCTGAGTGGATAAGTTTGGTGTAGTGGTTAAGTGCACGGACCCTAATCTGGGAGAACTGGGTTTGATTCCCCACTCCTCCACTTGTAGCTGCTGGATGATCTTGGGCAAGCCGTAGTTCTGATAAGAGCTGTTCTTGAAAAAGAGCAGTTTCTAAGCCACTCTGAGACAACTTTGGGTAATGAAGGGCGGGGTATAAATCCAATCTCCTCTTCTTCTTCTTTTACCTCACAGGATGTCTGTTGTGGGGAGGGGAAGGGAAAGGAGTTTGTAAGCCGCTCTGAGACTCCCTTGGGTAGTGAAGGGCGGGGTATAAATCCAATCTCCTCCTCTTCTTCTTCTACCTCACAGGGTGTCTGTTGTGGGGAGGGGAAGGGAAAGGAGTTTGTTAGCCGCTCTGAGACACCTTTGGGTAGTGAAGGGCGGGGTATAAATCCAATCTCCTCTTCTTCTTTTACCTCACAGGGTGTCTGTTATGGGGAGGGGAAGGGAAAGGAGTTTGTAAGCCGCTCTGAGACTCCCTTGGGTAGTGAAGGGCGGGGTATAAATCCAACCTCTTCTTCTTTTACCTCACAGGGTGTCTGTTGTGGGGAGGGGAAGGGAAAGGAGTTTGTAAGCCGCTCTGAGACTCCCTTGGGTAGTGAAGGGCGGGGTATAAATCCAATCTCTTCTCTCTTCTTCTTCTTCCATGGGAGGTAGTGGGCTCTCCTTCTTGGGAGGTTTTCAAACAGAGGCTCGATGGCCATCCGACAGCCATGCGGATTCTATGAACTTAGGCAGATCACGAGAGGGAGGGCAGGAAGGGTCGCCTCAGTGCTTGGTTCTCCTGGCCTTTTCTTACTCGTCCACGGAAATGCCGATTGCCACTTTGGGGTCAGGAAGGAATTTTCCTCCAGGCCAGGTTGGCCCAGGGATCCTGAAGGGTTTTTGGCCTTCCTCTGGGCATAGAGCAGGAGGTCACTGGGGGAGTGGGGGGTTAGTTGTGAATATCCTTACAATGTGCAGGGGGGTTGGATTAGATGACCCTTGAGATCCCTTCCAACTCTATGATTCTATATTTCTGTTCATTTTAATTGCTGTAAGCTGCTCCAGGAACTAATTTTGTTGACTGAAAAACAGAGGGTTTAAAAAATAAAGAGCCAGTTTGGTGTAGTGGTTAAGAGTGCGGACTCTAATCTGGGAGAACCGGGTTTGAGTCCCCACTCCTCCACTTGCACCTGCTGATGTGACCTTGGGTCAGTCACAAGCTCTGGCACAGCTGTCCTTAAAAAAGAGCAGTTTCTGTCAGAGCTCTCTGCTCCACCTGCCTCACAGGGTGTCTGTTGTGGGGAAGGGAAGGGAAAGAAGTTTGTAAGCCGCTCTGAGACACCTTTGGGTAGTGAAGGGTGGGGTATAAATCCAATCTCTTCTTCTTCTTCTTCTTCTAAATAAATAAATAAATAAAAATAAGCAATTCTTCCAACCATCACGCCAGGCAGGATGTGCCCCTATTGCAGGTGGCATTCTGACAGAGGCGACATTCAAACTGAGGGCATCCCCGATACACAGCTGAATCTCATCATAATGCCCCTGTATAAATCGATGGTGCGACCTCATTTGGAGTACTGTGTGCAGTTCTGGTCACCACACCTCAGAAAGGATATTATGGCACTGGAAAAAGTGCAGAAAAGGGCGACTAGAATGATGAAAGGGTTGGAACACTTTCCCTATGAAGAAAGGTTAAAGCGCTTGGGGCTCTTCAGCTTGGGGAAACGACGGCTGAGGGGTGACATGATTGAGGTTTATAAGATTATGCATGGGAAAGAGCATGTAGAGAAAGAAGCACTTTTCTCCCTTTCTCACAAGACAAGAACTCTGGTGGGCACTCCATGAAATTGCTGAGCGGTCGGGTTAAAATAAAAGGAAGTCCTTCTTCACCCAAAGAGTGATTCACACATGGAAAACCCACACCGAATCCGAAAACGGTGAGTTAAAATGTAGTTTATTCCTTAAATAAAATCCCGGTAAGTAATTTTGCAGTTTGGCACAGCAAAAAGAAAAATATATATATATATGTAACTCCCCCCCCCCCCCCCGACATACATACAAAACAAAGAAATGAGAAGAAGAAAAAAGTCATACAGTGTTCTGGCGAGGGCGATCGGGTCAAGTCAGTCAGGAAGAGATCGGAAGTCAAGTACAGATCCAGTTAAGGGAGAGGCGAGGCAAAGCTGGGGAGGGGGTGTTCCATAACAGGTTGTGGGATGAACCACAGGACTGAGTCAAGACAGGAATTTAAAAACAGGAAGTGGGGGGGGCAGGCAGCTGAGGCCACATTGCTGGCAAGACACCGAGCACAGATGCTAGACAGGGATGAGCAAAGGGAGAGGGGGGGGGGGGGGGACCCATCCTGTTTCACGATT